GCTTTGAATTTGATCAATTCAGTCTCATACTTATTTTTAGATTGTCTTTATATCTCCTCTGATCTTCATGCCTTAAAGTGCTTATATACAGTACTATTCACCCGTTGAGTCTTCTATAAGTGCTCGTCGCATCCATGCTTCAGTATTTGCCACGAGGGGCGCATGCGCACGTGGGTGTAAACAAAGATCCTCCTATACTCTCTTCATTCTGATCCAGAGTTGTCTGATAAGAGTTGCCCATATCTGATCGGGCATGGGCAAACTTTTTAATGTGCTGTGCACAGGACCAGAGGAGATTGTATTACTGTGGATTACTTTGAATTACAATGTTCCATTCTGTGGCAACAGACATATCTTTAGGCATGTTATGGCTGCTTGCACTGTATTCTAAAACAAACATTACCTATAGATACACTGAATAATACAAATTCATATTTTTGAAATGTAAATGTAAATGCCCCTATATATTATAGGGATGTAAATCGGTGACCGTTTAACCGGTGGTTGACCACCACTGGTTGATCACAGCGTTAACCGGTCAAAGCTGTCGGTTAAAAAAGAGAAAAAGGGGAGAGGGGAGGTCTCTTCATAACTCTATTTTAAGCCCTATTCTCACGGTGTGACGAGTGGGTCCATCTCTAGCTGTGTGCGCCAATGTAACAGTAAACTCCGGGCCGACTCTCACGCCGCACGCGCCACATATGCACGCACACATGCACACGCACGCACGCACAGACACACACACACACTTTCCCCCCCTCCATTCATACGTAACATCCACACGCATCCCCTCTGTTACCGCCTGCTAATTGCACACTGGTGCAGGTCAGAACTACATTGGAGCTTATATTTACACACACATACACACATACATGCATTGTACACACACACATACCGGTCTGTCGCGGGGTGTGGCGATACTTTCTCCCGCGATTCGATTATCGATATGCATTTTCTAAGTATCAATATCGATTTTGAAAAAATGTTTTATTTTTTTTACAATTTCTTTTTTTCTATTGGTATCAATACTTAATATATGGCTACATTACGCATCTCCATTCTATTTATCATGAAAGTGTATTTTTTTCTTTCTTTTTTCTTTTATTTATGCCACAAATTGGAATATTGTATATTTCTGACCTATAGATCGATAATAATCATATCGTGATAAAATCGCTATTGTGATATCGTTATCGTGATAATATCGTTATCGTGAGCTTTGTATCGTGTATCGTATCGTATCGTGAGGTACCCTTAGGTTCCCACCCCTACAATGGATCCTTGCAAATACACGGCTCCAGTCAAACCACATGGAACATGTTTGTGCTGCTGGTCCTTGTCATTAGATCAGCTCCACATACATCACTTTAACTTTAGCGGAAACCAGTGAGACGTGGCGCGTCACTCGCTACTCGGACCATGTGAACGAGCCGTCTTTTGCTTAAAAATGCTTTAACCCGCAGCACAGCAGAATGGGAAGATTAAAACAGCAGTTCTCTGTGCGCAAAGGTACCGAAGCTATTGCGGGTTTTGGCGCCGCTGTCTCGGCTCTGATCCAGTGGAACGCAGAGCTGCTCTTATGGAAAGTACGCGGCTCGAAATGGCTGTTATTTCAAAGAACGTGGAATATTTTAAACTACGCGGTTAACCGGTTTCAACCGGTTAATGAGGCTCGGTGGTCGGTCATGAAAATTCATAGTTTTTTACATCCCTAATATATTATAATAGATCCATGGTAAAACGCAGTAGCCTCAGTCTGAACGCGGCCTTGTTTACATGTCAACTCCACGCGACTGTCAAATGCCCGAGACGTTTAGAGTGATTTGGTCATTTATTAAACTAAAGTATTCTTTTCTTGCCAGTCTGGTGAATGACTAAGAGCTGAGGAGCACTGTCAAAGACACATTTTCTAGAAAAGGCTTTCGTAGTACCTTGGACTGCAATATAAGATCTCAACGCTAGATGGCACTAAAAATTACACACTGTATCTTTAAGGGGCCCATATTACGCTTTTTGACTTTTCTCTGCTTTAAACATGATTACAGTGCTATTTGGCCTTCATACACATGCCCAGAGTAGTTTTTTCATTGATTCTGTCAATCTTTAGTTAGAGAGCGATCTTTCTCCTTCACTCTCGAGGCAGTGAAACGCCCGGGTCCACTTCTGTGACGATTACCACTCTGATGACGAATATGACGCGCATAAGCCTTTTGCTTTGTATTTGAAATGGTTTTTAAATACTTTTGTCAAAACGGGGTAAACAATACACAATAAGTATGCTGTTTGTTGTCAAAAATAATAAAAATAGTAAAAGCCGGGAGGTGATTGACAGATCGAAACAGCGAATCAGAGCGCGCAGCCAGTCCAGTGTAAGTCTGTGGTTTGGTCCCGCGGACACCACATGGAGCTACTGTTTTTCTGCTTTTGTCAGCAACTAAAAGTGTTAGGATCACATCAACCTGGATAAAATGTGTTTTGGATGTAAATATGTGACGCACTATTTGGTCCGAAGAGGAAGAAAGCGGCTCAACTTTTTTTGCGTGGATTCGCCTCTGTATGAAAGAATCTGTTCATCTGCGACACTTCACTAAGACTGTTCCAGAACTACAGGGACAATGGAACTGGACTTACTCAAAAACTGATCTGGAAAGCAATATTATTCCCACAATAAAAGACGTAACACGGACCCCCGATCTGTGAGTACAGTGACGCTAACTCGCTGTATACTTCTGTAAACTAAATAACTAGGGTCTGATTGTGCATCGAGGACATAGGGCTCGATGTTACGGATTGTCATTGTTGGAAAAAGTGTATTCTCATGTCTGAAATGACTATGAACCGGTGATAAACAACTCAGAGCGTGATGCTACGTCACCGTGTGGGTGGGGGAGGCGGGCTTACGGACAGAGGAGCAGACTGATCTCTGGATCCGCTCGTTTGAGTCGAGGAAACGTCACCTCTAGAGATGACGTCTCTTGTATAGACAAGAGATGGCTATAATCTCACAAGTTTTGAGTGTTGTATAGTGTATCACTCAAATTATTATCACACACGTGCATAGGATGGACTGTGAAACATGAAGAAAAGCTTAATTTGGGACCTTTAAAATTAGGCCCCGGTGACTGGAGGAAATATTAAAATGGCTTTAGGAATTAGTGATCATTAAAAATAGTGTCCAAGTCCATGTTCATGTGATCATTTACTCTACAGTATAAACAATTATTTTCATATTCTTTATTCTAATTTAACCAGTAAAGCTATTTATTCAAATTTACATTTTGAAAGTAGAGCCCATGACAAACTATGGCAGAAAGAATGGCCAGTATTAATCCATTAGGTGGCGCTATATTTATGTCAATAACAGTAAATCAGAGATAAGCAAAATTACAATGATAAAAATCAAAGTGAACAGACAATATATTTATACTATAAGTGCAATAGAATACTGTTGTGTGTCTTTGTGTGTTTGGGCATGCATGTATGTGCATTTATGCGCACGTTTGTGTGTGTTTGTGTGGTTATATCTACAGAGTGTCGTTCTGTTTAGTCCAGTGAGCGCTGTGGCCATAACTGGACTTTGCCGCTGGCTCCTGGTGCGGACTCAGTGATAGTTTTAGCAATAGTCCTCTTTTCTGTGGCTTTTTTTGGTCTGCTGCCCTGACTCTCCACATTGGTCTGCTGTCCTGACCCTCCACATGGTCTGCTGCTCTGACTCTTCACATGGTCTGCTGCTCTGACCCTCCACATGGTCTCTGTCAGCTCTGGAGACACATTTATTCCTCAAACTGCCTCTAAATGTAGCCTGACCCTGACTATATTACTCCATGCCTGCTTCACCTCTGTCTCTCCTGCTCAGAGTGCTCAGGCAGTGATCTTTGACCAAGACACCCACAGAGCTCTGCTGCCATCTGCTGGCTTAATAAAATACTGTCTACAGCCAAACCCCGGACATAAATGGTACACAGACACAGAAGGACAGGAAAAGATTGAAAAACAATGTTGACGTCAAAGAGTTAATCTCAATGGTACTTTTCAGTGATTCTTTGGCGTACCCCTAGAGGGAACCCCGCGTACCCCACTGTGAGAACCACTGATTTGAAGTGTAGAATCAAAAGTTTGCTTTAGATTTGTGATTGGTTGAATCAGTTTAGATTCCAGATTACTCAAAATGTTGCCTTATTTCGATTGACATGCATGAACGTTCCCATGATATTGCTACATACTCAGCAGAGTAGTAGTGAAAAGATGAGTGCTCACAACAAGATCAAAGAGAAGGACCATAGGCCGTTTCATCAAACTCAAGTCTCCCTGCATGTCTGTATGTGTGTGTGTAGCTCCACGCACATACCATAATATATACAGTATATATATTAGTGTATATGTGTATGACTACATAAATTATTATTGTTAAAATCAAAACCAGCTCAGTTCCTTTATGTGGCACTATAACTATTGTTATCTTTAGATAGTCGACCTATGCGTTATATATATTTGTTTGTCATTTATTTGTTTGTCATTTAGTCCCCAACCTAACAAATGAAAGCAACCCAACATTTATCGATTTGCTGAATAGAACGCAAATGATGATTTAATTTGTCCCAGCTTTGTGTTGCTGTGGAGGAGTAGATTGACTTGAAAAGCTCTGTGAGGTTGATCCTTCATGATGGTGAGGAGGAGAATAGCGGTGTAAGCAAAATATTGATATTTTATAGGCTGAGCACTTTTATTATCAACATTATAATATCAATGCCTGTGCATGGAGTTATTGTGAGAGGACACTTAATTTATGTGGACACTTTCATGTGGGCTTGAAACAGGGTGACATTTAGCCCATTCTCCAGGGCAATTCAGAGCAGCAGGACACCCTTAGTCACCTTCCACTTACAACAACCTAGGTAATAATAATAATGCTGGTAATTGAATGTATGACTACGTGACTTTATGCATATGTAATCAGCCGTACAGTTACTTAAGATAAAGGCAACATTTTTTTTAAGTTGTCAATGTCGTGAGTCACATGTCTCGGGTCTTACCAGAGTGAAAGGAGTGTTGAGCACTGTGATGAAAATATCCGCCACGGCCAGGTTCATAATAAAGAGACTGGTGGAGGATTGCGCGCGCTTGTTTTTGACCACCACATGGCACACGAGCGTGTTCCCGAACAGAGACACCACGATAATGATGGAGTACGCGGCCACCAGCAGCGCTTTCACCCATCGCCCCTGCGACTCCCCGCTGCGAGTCCGAGAAGCCAGAGTGCGCCAGTCCTCCAGCAAACCCTCATCTAAGTCCAATAAGAAGCCAGAAGTCTGGTTATGTGAGCGCACAGAGGAAAGGTTTTCTGGGTAAGAAAAAATGCTGCCCTCCAAAAGTGAGTGGTTAAATGGACTGCCCCCTGTCCCACGACAAAGGAGAGCAAGTGCACCAAAACACGACCAGGTCACGTCAACCCCGTTCATGATGCTGCTGAGGAGCAGTTGTGCAGCCGACTCAAGTTTCTCCGTGAAGCAACAAGTGGAATGCTGCCAGTCCGCTGCTTGGCAGATGTTTGCAGCCTCCACTCGCTGGGGCTGATGCGGGAGAGAGAGAGAGAGCGAGAGAGGGAAACAAGTCCTGATTGGTTGAACGGGCAAGTTAAACAAAACACGTCTCAATCAACCCTCAGAGTAATTACTTTTTAAGCAGTCTATTGGCCAGTAAACGGTTTATGAAAAAAAAAAAATAAAAAAAAAAAAATAAAAAATAAAATATATATATATATATATATATATATATATATATATATATATATATATATATATACATTAACTCTCTAACTCCCAGAACTCCGCTTCATTTCGACGGCTCCCATTCAAATCAATAGAATTTTGATAAAAGTGAGTTGTTTTTTTCACCAGTTTTAGAAAATAAAAAGTAATTTATATGGTTTGTTTTACCTTTATTCACTTGTGATACTTGCTAAAACTGGTACATAACTTTAAACCAGCCAAAAGAGTTCGTTTAAAGGCTACATGCTAACTGCTAACAGTGTGTTGCCGTGCTCTTCTCAAGTGGAAAAGCCAAGCTGAACCCGGACCAGAAACAGCACAATGGTGAAAAGGTGCTTTAACTGTAGATTAATGAAAATTGGGAAAGGCAAGGGGAAGTTTATTTGTATAGCACAATTCATACACAACGCAACTCAAAGTGCTGAACAAAAATAAGAAAGCATTAAAATCATAAATAATCGCAGTACATTAAAAAGAAAGATAAAAATATAAAATATAAAATCCCTCAGTTGTATGCACAGCTAAACAGAACTGTTTTTAACGTGGTTTTAAACACTGTCAGAGAGGAGGCCTGTCTCACATCTTCAGGAAGACTGTTCCAGATTTTAGCAGCATGAATCTGAAAAGCAGCCTCCCCATGTTTAGTCCTGACTCTGGACACTAACAGGAGTCCAGTCCCTGTGCTCCTCAGAGTCCGGGCTGGTTCGTATGGTACTAACATGTCACTAATATATTTTGGTGCGAGGCCATGGAGAGACTTGTACACAAGCAAAGCTGTTTTAAAGTCTATTCTCTGAGCCACAGGAAGCCAGTGCAGAGACCTGAGGACCGGACTAATGTGGTCGTACTTCCTGGTTCTAGTCAGGACTCGAGCTGCTGCATTTTGAATGTACTGCAGCTGTTTTACAGCCTGTTTGGACAGACCTGTGAGCAGGCCATTGCAGTAGTCTAACCTACTGGAGACAAATGCATGGATAAGAATCTCCAAGTCTGCTTTAGACACTATGTTTTTGATCCTGGCAATGTTTTTTAGATGGTAAAAAGCTGCTGATGTTACTGATTTGATGTGGCTATTAAAATTTAAGTCTGAGTCCAGTATTACCCCTAGATTTCTGACCTTGTTAGAAGGTTTTAGGGAGAGAGACTGTAGGTGACAGATGATGCTCTCTTTGTTTCTGAGGACCAAAGACAATCATTTCAGTTTTGTCTGCATTTAGCTGAAGGAAGTTGTTTTGCATCCACTCACTGATCTGTTGGATACAGTGAAGGAGTGAGTCCACTGGTCCATGTTCTCCTGCAGTCAGTGAGACATAGATCTGAGTGTCGTCTGCATAGTTGTGATAGGACACTTTGTTTCTGCGTATTAACTGACCTAACGGCAGCATGTAGAGATTGAACAGAAGAGGTCCCAGGATCGACCCCTGTGGTACTCCACAGGTCAGGGCCTGTGAGACACAGTTTTCAATCTTCACAAAGTACTTCCTGTCTTCAAGGTAAGACCTAAACCAACTTAGGGCAGTGCCAGCGACTCCAACCCAGTCCTCTAGTCTCTGTAAGAGGATCTCATGGTCGACAGTGTCAAAAGCTGCACTCAGATCTAACAGGATTAGGATTGAGACTTTGCCTGCGTCAGTGTTCAGCCGGATATCATTTGTAACCTTGACAAGGGCAGTCTCAGTGCTGTGGTGGGGTCTAAAGCCGGACTGAAACACATCAAATGAGTTGTTGATTATAAGAAATCTAGTAAGCTGTTGGTAGACAACTTTTTCAAGGACTTTCCCCATAAATGGCAGATTTGAGATGGGACGATAGTTGTTAAGTACGGTGGCATCCAGCCTGCTCATTTTTAGTAGGGCCCTGATGACTGCAGTTTTCAGGGCCTTTGGGAATATTCCAGAATGAAGGGACATGTTTACTATCTGTGTGAGTGAAGGTAACAGACTGCTCAGAACAGACTTCAGAAATCTAGTGGGTCAAGTGCAAGCCGCAATCCAGTCTCTACTTCTAAACAAAGCGTGAGAAGCACTACGCACAAAACACAGCAGCAATATGAGTGTGCTGCAATATTATTCACAATGTAAATAAGTCCAGACTCATCACAGCAGCTCTTGACCTGTCTGAAGCCACACTCATTCATAACCCACATGTGGCACAGCGCCTTAACGCAACACCACTGTCTAAAACGGCCTCGAGCTACCATAATATTAGACCGTGTGGGTGAGAGATCAGGCTCCAACAACATCCTTATCTTCAAAATGAGCGCGCTAAATAATCCACAGTGCATGGTTGTTAAGTGTGAAAACCCCCATTGTTACCTTGTGCATCTTTGTGAATATGTAGTGAGCTGGCGTGCGCTACCAATCGAGAGTAGGGGACGCCATAAAAAAGCATGTCACTTACACTACCTTGCCTCTCCTCTATCCAACGTCACATCCGCTGCACAGGGCTCTAGGCGAAGCAGGTTGGAGTTGGGAAGTTGCTGTGGGTGGTTTTGGGGCATCAAGCCTGTGTCAGAGGCTTAAGGCCAACAACTGGGTGGTGCTCAACTTTATGCGTCGCTGCATTGTGTGCGTTGACCTGACTACCGCATAGCTGAGCATGTTCAGAGGCTCGGTATGGTGCGGGGAATTGACGGCGTGCCCAACTCCCCTTATTTTTTAAGATAAACCAAACCGCAGATAGAAGTCAATCTAATTGCTTTTAGAGACAATGATGGTCTGAAACTGGTCTGGTCTGAGACTGTGATGGACAGTGCGCAGATGTGCGCCCTGTGGAAGCAAGACAACCTGAACAAAGACTGATACACAAGGACATATTTATTTGAACAAATGTTGCTCTCTATTAGAAATGTAACATCTATTGTCAACCTTTTGCCTCTTACCAAACTTAGTCTGGTATTCAAAGTTCTGAATGCTTTGTTCCTGGCTGTTTCAAGGACTGACTATGAGTTATTGTATACATTGTAAGATCCAGAAGAATAATCTATATGCACACAGTTCTGTTGTTCTGTGCCATTATGCCTTCTCAGTGAATGCCTCTGTACACTGGAATGTTCTTCATCATAAAACATGTGCTACTCTGGAAGGCACTGTTTGAGTGACAGAATTGAAAAAACACTTAAGAGCTCTCCAAGGTGTAATCACTCTCACTAAGCAAAACGCTCCAATGGTACATCTTCATGTGTATGAGTGTGCATTTGGCTTCTTTGACTGTATGTTCATTTTTTTATATGTGCATTTTACTTGTCTTCAACCCTGCATGTTGTCTCTTCCATTTGCAAGTTTGTGACATTGGCTAGCTACTTTTAGAACGATGTATTTATCTGTTTTGTTTGTATGGTTGGATGTGTTTCTGCTGCAACTGGAAGATTAATAAAGTATCTATCTATCATCACACTCATAGAGCTAGTGCAAGTGAGGATGCTCCTGGTACAATATGTTTCAGGTCTGGAGTTATGCTTGGCCAGTCAATCTCCTTCACCCTGACCATGATCTACAGCAAAGCAGCACTCGTATTAGAGGTACATGTTTAGAGATTCATGATATTGGAATTGTGGGCCATGTTATTTTTGAAGTGTAAAGCTAACTTTTTATTTGTTAAAGAATAACAAGTTTGTCCCAACAGAAAAAGTTTTCTAAAAGTAAAATGTGAACAAATGTTCAGAACATGCTGCCTTCATCGAAAGAAAAAGCCCTGTGAGTCCTACATAATACGACATAATAGTGTATTGTGACTGTATAGCTAGGTTGGGAACTTTCACTTTTTATGGAACTGTATTTTAATATATATGATTAATGATCGTATTGTCAAGGACTACAAATGGAAAGTAGCATGGTCACAAATACATGCACATGCGTCCAGGAGGCATCCTGAACAGATGCCCGAGCCATCTCAACTGGTTCCTCTCGACGTGGAGAAGCAGCGGCTCTACTCCGAGCTCCTCCCGTGTGACTGAGCTCCTCGCCCTATCTCTAATGCCAAATTTCAGATCAAAGCCAAAGTGTGTTGGTGTGTTCTGGCGATTAAAAAAAGTCTGATTCTTGAACGTCTGAAGTGTTATTGCAATAGCACCACACTGTGAGAGCGAGGGTCAGGACAGAAGGTAGTTATTCCCCATAGGAAACGCTTTTCTTTGGCCCTGGAGCGATACACTCCCCAGCGCCCCTTGACCACGGTCCGGGGCTTATATGAAAGGTTTAACATGTCGCCCCCTCAAAATGACCATTGAGTCCAAAGGGTTAGTTTTATCTTTTATTTCGGTCTCAAAAAAATAGAATAAAAAAACAACGCACACAAGGTCCCGTATACAGCCTGGCAGGCGACTGCCTCGATACTGCACACCTGTCCCTGATTAGCCCTGGAGGGATCTATTTAAAGCAGAAATCATGCGAATTTGAGGGGTAGGTCACGTCATATATGTTCCTCCAAAATAAAATACTATTAAGAGAAAGCAGTGAAATTTAGCAAATGACATGGCGTAAATATTGTTATTTACAGTGAACTGTCATCCATACCAATAAAACCCTAAAGTGCTTAGTGCTATACAATAAAAATAGGTGCAAATACAGGCGGCAACCAACACAAGCAGGGAGAATACAAAAGTATGTGACTGCTGTACAGACGTGTGTGAAAATGCGCATCAACACGGGCGCAGCAGGAAGAGGTAATGTGACCGAATGTGACGCACAATATCACGTCCCCACCACACCTCATCCCCCCTCCCCACATTGACCCCCCTCATCTGGGCTTTACAACCGGGCTCAGGCCCACCTCTCCCAAAATATTATACACATTAAAAAACACAGTACTGGGCATCATCGTAGCTTTTTTTTGGTCAGAAGTATTAAAAATCCCACAACCTGACTTTTCTGGATATGAAGTATTCATTCATTTATTCATTAATTTTCCCATTTCTGTGTTAGGGAGTGGCAATGAGAGCTGCTACCCAATGCTCATAGCTCCAGTCCCTCGCTGATCCTCCTTCACGGGTGGTGGGTCGGTCCCACGGGAAGATGGCTTCTTGACACAGCCTTGTTCTTTCAGCAGGGGCTTCAGGCAACGTGGGGTTAAGTGTCTTGCCCAAGGATGCAACTACTCTTAATTATACATTGATTAATCAAGAAAATAATCAGCCAAAGCAAGAGATAATCATTAGGATACATTGAAAACATTACATTTAATGGTATATTGTCCAACTTAAAGCATATTATATTCAAGAATATGAGACCCTCAGTGAAAGAACAAGTTATGTTTTTAGCAATAACATGAAATCATAGACTGTATGAAATACAGTAACTACATCTCCCTCGTGGTATGCAATATGATTCAGCAGGCCCTGGAATCTTTTCCTTGTTTTTAATTCCAAAACTTGACAAGTATAGGTGTTTTCCTTTATTATCATAGATCCATGTTGTTTTCACATGGGCCTGAATCGTGTGCTGTGGACCCGGCTCTACTCGAGTGGTGGCGTTGGGAAGTAAAACGACGAGTAAAAAGCAAGCTCTATTTTCAGAAGAAGAAACATTTCGTGTGGGTTTATGGGTAATGTAGTTCACAAACACGACACGCCTTCTACTCACTGCGGATCGAGCGCCGAATTGTTAACTACATATCCCATAATGCCTCTCTCCATGTGTCCGTGCTAAACTTCCATGCGATAAAGCTTGCGATAACTATCCTACTTTTGCAAGGTGGCCGTCTTTAATTTTTTTATCTTCAGCCCATGTACATAAATGACCTTCCTTCAGCCGATACATGCGTGATGCCATTTGTTTGTACATTTGTTTTAGCAGGGAGAACGCGGTAGCAGACAAAAGCATATCACCTGAAGGAATGGAGTTTCCAGAGGATTTTAATCAACTGGAACTCCTGGACACACACGGACCTCTGATCCCCCGTGGAAGCAGCAGCCTTTGGACTGGCAGTGAGGAGGATGAAGAGGAGGAGGATGAAGGGGGAGAGCGACCAGAGGAGTGGTTTCTGCACAAGGAAACCTCTCTCAAAGACAAACCCCAGGAGCTGATGTTGTGGGCCGCAGAAAACAACAGAGTAAGTACTTAGTGGGAGTAAATTGCTGTTTACTAGTAATGGTTCATTTCTTGAAGCTTGAACACAAACCCCCTGTTGGTCAAAATCTGTATTGACCTTTCAACTGTGAGGCTCTTAGTGGATAGGAATAAATACTGGCAACAGAAATAAAAACTTCATTTAATTGTGATGAGTCAGTAGTTCATCTGTTTGATTATGATCAATATCCGTATTATTAACATAAATATATTAAATGACCAAATTACAATGTACTGGTAACTGCTACACACTCACACTCTAAAGGTTCAAGACTGAGTAATTTACTGCCATTGTCACAAGAAACAATATTACATTGTGAGTACTTTTCAGACATTAGCATAGATAGTGCAAAAGTATTCACACGTGTAATAAATGTTGAGGTTGATGCACAATATTGATAAGAAAGATTAAGAATTACATTGCTCTTTTAAAATACAATGTTGCCTAAACTTTGAGCAAAGAAAAAGGGAATGCACATTTGAATTCATAGAATAATGAACTGAATTATATTTCGAGAGCTGTGTACTTCAAGCCTGTTAACACTGGGGAAATAAAACGCATCAATCTGACCATCTCCACCAGGGTGCAGTCCAAGCTCTCTCTGGTGTCTATTAATGCACCAATCATATCTGAGAAGATAATCCACCAGCAATCTTCAATAAATGGAAGATAATGGTGCCTATAATGTTGTATAACTGCTCAAATTAGTTGAATTTTTTACGGAATTGTATTGAATTGAATGTTCCATGCATCTTCTAGGGATATGTTGGTATTGTAGATAGATACTTTATTGATCCCCCATAGGAGAATTTCAGGTGTCCTGTAGAAATTTTGGGCTGATACTGCTGTTTAATATAACAACTTGGCCGATGTTTTTTGTATTTTTTGTTATTCATACAGTACAGACCAAAAGTTTGGACACACCTTCTCATTCAAAGAGTTTTCTTTATTTTCATGACTATGAATATTGTAGATTCACACTGAAGGCATCAAAACTATAAATTCACTCATATGAAATTGCGTAGATACTAAAAAAAAAGTGAAACAATTGAAAATATGTCTTATATTCTAGGTTCTTCAAAGTAGCTCCTTTTTCTCTGATTACTGCTTCACACACTCTTGGACTTCTCTTGATGAGCTTCAAGAGGACCTGAAATGGTCTTCCAACAGTCTTGAAGGAGTTCCCAGAGATGCTTAGCACTTGTTGGCCCTTTCCTCTTCACTCTGTGGTCCAGCTCACCCCAAAACCATCTGGATTGGGTTCAGGTCCGGTGACTGTGGAGACCAGGTCATCTGGCCCAGCACCCATCACTCTCCTTATTGGTCAAATAGCCCTTACACAGCCTGGGTGTGAATCTACCGACAATAGTCATGAAAAGAATAGAAACTGATTGAATGAGAAAGTGTGTCCAAACTTTTGGTCTGTACTGTATATGAATATTTCTTGGTGGCTTCAGTTTTCCGTTTTTCTTCAGCTTGCATGCAATTGCCGTACACCACCTCATGCTTGCTTCTCAAATGTCCAATAGGATTCGTTGTGTCAAATGATTTTCTAGCTGTCCCCCCTCTATCCCTAGCAGTAACACATCCATCCATACAAACAAAACCAACAAATAGATCATTCTATAAATAGCTAACAATAGTATTAATATGCAATAGCACTTAAGGTCACACCCACCCTCTGCCAGTAAAGTTTGCTTGTCTCCCCCATAGACTGTATATATTAACGGACGTAGTCACGCTTCCCTCCGCCGTTCTAACTAATGGGCCAAAAATTGGCTCTCATGGAGTGATTCAAAATGGCCATGGGGGCTGGAAAATGTGAAAATATGGATCTGCACACGCCCCAGCTGGCGCGAGCTCCATTCATTTAAACGAGTGCCTTCAAAAATTCACAGCAACTAAACTATAGTGGTCCAAAAAAATGCACTCCCCTCAGCATTGACACACATGTGGAACGGAGCTTTGGGCCAAGAGCCAACTTTTGGACCATCCTGTAAAGGTGTTTTCAAAAGGTAAGAAGATGCTATATGTTAGCATTGGCTAATTCTACTTCTGGGTCCACCCCGATCGGCCCAGGGTGGTATTGCAAGCATGTCAGCGCACGTCATTTTGGCCACTTTTGAGCCGGGACCCGCCCCCACTGGTCTCCCATCTCTATATTGTGTCCTTCATTGTACTGCACAGGTGTTGTGATTACAGCTGCTTGATTGACCTGGGCAGTCATCAACTGCTAGGGCACCTAAATTAAGTGAGTGTTAACAAAATAGAAATAGAAGCGATTATAAATCACCCTTAGGCTGTATGAACGGCAGCAAAAACAGGACGGTTATAAGCTTAAACCTAAAAAAGACATAATGAACTTTCTGCATTTGATAAATGTTTTTGACACTTGCTGATTAAAAGAAACATGATTAAAAAAGTAGAGTAGAGTAGTCCAAGCTAAATCGACAGGAAAAATTAACAACACCTCGTTTGCCATTCGAGAAAAATACGGCATAATAGAACGTCCAATTAAACAGGCCTATCTCCTCTGAAAGATTTCAGTAAACTGTTTTATTTCATAATTGATTCATGATTAAAAAAAACTAATATATATATAACTTGTTGAGTGACGACAGGAATATTTTTAAACTGCCCTTATAAAAGAAGCTCTGTCTAATTCGTTTAGTTTGCCTTATTTTGGTCACATTCAAGTAAATGACAGGAGACTTAAGGAATATCTTATCTCTTATCTTTTCTGGATTTCAGTGAAAGCTCATTTTCCTGGGAGATCACCCCATAAGCACCAGACCACAAGCGATACGACAGGTTTACGTGCAAAGTCATGCATGATTCACCAAATCAAGCTTTGGTGGATTGATACATTATTTTCATTATGTGAAATGTATATTGTATATTTGAAGAATTCTATTTATAACATCAGAGAGTCAGATTACATACACAAGGTTCATATTTAAACTTAACTCAAATCAAAAACGTTATAGGAGGATCTTGGAGTGACGTCGTTGTTTATAGTTTTTCAGCGCCGGTCACGTGACTGGGTGGCAAAACAGCATAAACAGCTGCCTGGATGCTAGAGAGTTAGCTAGTTTTAGACGTTTGGAGAGAGGTTTTACTAATTCAAATGGTCCATTCTTGTTGTGTGGTATAAAGATAAAGTCTTATTTTCTAATTCCTTTGGAAAAGAACAGCGAAACACGGCCGCGGTAAAGCGGGTTGCCCTTTTATGCTGTTACCCACGGTAAGCGAAGACAGGAAAGCCCGGGATGAGGAGATAAAAATTCACTGCACACTTGTTCTCTGTGATGATGAATTTTAAACATTGAATGTTGGTTGCTCATCCCCGCGGCTTCCTTTATGACAGCATAGAGGAGCAACCCGCTTTTAATGTGCGGACCACTTTACCGCGACGGAGAAAAGCCGGGCCACTTTACGGTGGTGAAAAACGCGAGAAATGGTTTTTCACCACGGATCCTTCTTGTGTGAAGGGTCCCGGGTTTTCTATGAAGTAAGAATAAATGTCTCTCAGCAGATTGGTGCCAAGACAGGCGAAACTTTACAGTCTATGGTCTGAGCAATAGTCTTTTGTTCAGTTCGGTCTCATATACTTATTTTTAGCTTGTCTTTATATCTCCTGATCTTCTTGCGTTAAAGTGCTTATATACGGTGCTATTCGCCCACTAAAGGGCTCGACACACGAGAGGCGACATCGCATCGCCTCCATTCATTTTCAATGGGACGTGCGCGACATAGCGTCAATCGCTAGCGAGCCTCCTGCTCAGCGACGGGCGAAAAACGTGCGTGTGAAATCCTCCCGCTCGTGCATGTATCGTGCACGCGCAGGTCAGCGACGCGATCCCAGAAAGTTGAAATTGGCTCAACTTTTCGACGCTGTCGTCGAGCCGCATCGCGCTCGTCTGTCATGTTATCTGAGCGACAGCGTTGAGTTTCGCTGATCGCTCTCATTTGTCGCCTCCCGTGTGTCGAGCCCTTCAGTCTTTTAAAAGTACTTGTCGCATCCATGCTTTAGTATCTGCCGCTCTGTCTTCTTGTTTATATCCGCATGCGCACGTGGCACATGCGCACGCGGATGTAAACAAAGATCCTCCTATTGGGCCTCATTCACCAATATCTTAAGAATCTTCTCAAATTTCTTCTTAAGTCAACCCTACGTAGGATTCATCAGCACGTTCTCAAGCCGCGGACTTTTTCGCAGCCGTTGTCTTAGATTGATGAATGCCAACTCCTTGTAAATTGAGCGCGCTAGGTGCTAGGTGAGTCATTAGCATAGGTACTTAGCATAGGTAACCGCCCGTTCATGCCCATAAAAGGGACTTCAGGACCGTGTGCAGACGTCAGAGGAAACAGCATCATGCCTGAAGCAAAGTGTCACACGGAGCAAAAGATTATGGTCATAATATTTTGACTTTAATGTCAAAATATTATGAGAATAAAGTCGAACTAGCAAAATTATTAGATTACTCTAAACATTATAATGAGATTAATTTTAAAAAATGATAAAATTATTAGATTCATCTCAAAATATTTTGGACCCTGGGAGGAGATCCAGTGCGGACCAGCGCTGAGACCCATGCAGACCCGAGGAGAGACCAGTGCAACCTCCTGCAGCAGCAGCAGCAGTAGTATACAGTATACGCCATTGTTCTGTGGCCCGTGGATGGAGAAATGCACTCTATAAATAGGATGGAGTCACTAATAGACGGCATGATTTCCAATGTATTTGATAAAGCGTTAAAAAATTCATTCATAAATTACCACCAAAATGTAATAAACAAATACATACATCAATATGACAGACATGTATGTGTAATGTTGTATTTTATTGAACTTCTCAAAAGAAGACGACACCAGCGAGCGAACATGTTGGCACTGATTGTGCTTAAGAGTGCTCCTGAGCACTCGTAGGATTCAGGAGAAACATTCATGAATGCCACAATCTTCGTATAATCCTTGTAAGTAGGATTTAAGAACAAATTTGTTCTTAAGAACAGTTTGTGAATGAGGCCCACTGTCCTCAAGGGGGAAATTGTTGTCATGTGGAGCAGGACAACACAAAACAATAATTACAGTGAGTATGGTACACATACCAGGGGACACAGCTTAATCAAAAGGAAGCATGTGGAACCCTTTAATCTGTTCTGAAGATTAACTGCAGGGACCACAAATCGACATTTCAAATGATTTATTTGGTAGAATAACACTAGGGTTGTGCTTTGCTTGTATAAAATAAAAATAATAATAAATTGACTAGTAACAAAATAATAATCAAAATATAAGCCACGATACCGACATATTTCCCTAATTGATAGTATTACATCATCTAGGTACACTCTAGTTTTTACTCCCATGTAGCGTTAAAATTATAAATTGCAGTTTACTTCTACCACCACCACCTCGACCAAGCCTTCAAGGACAAAGTCGTGTTTGACAGTGCTCCTCAACTCCCATTCACCGGACCACCAAGGAATGAATCCTTTAGTTTGATAAATGATGTTATAATATATACTTTTACAAATGTGGTGTGAAGAGACGTGTGGAGGAATGGGAAATCTGTGGGAGCTTAAAACCACGATGGCCCGAGAAGCAGGATATTGTCTTGGACTGTGGCTAAAAGCTCAGTTTGTTAGCTTTCACCAGGCGCTGCATCCGCATCACCAGGTAATATAACAGAACGATAAACGTATTCTGGCGATTGTTTTGCTGGGACTGTGTGTTTTGCATATTTGAGGCTTGTCCTTGAATAAGTTTTGTAGAAACTTGTGGCACTCGGAGCGGGTCAGAACAACCTGAGGCCCGTGTTGCAGATTCTGCCTTGCTCTCATTACTGTCAGTGTGAAGAAAGTGACTTATGTGTGCACATGTTGTGTCACTACAGCAATGTGCCTCCTGCTGTTTTATGCTGCCTTACAGTGCGTGTGGTTTGCAATTTTGACACGTTTTCTGTTATGACGCAGGTTTCTAGATTTTTGCATACACATTTTTCATAATTTTTTCTAAAAATAATGTTGTTCTGTTAGTTCTTTTACATAACTGCAGACCTCTATGGTTCCTTCTTGAAATTTGTCAGGGCACAGTGGAAGCAACAATATTGGTAGCACCTGTAAATCGCATTGTTTTTGTCCCTTAGCACCTATCTATTTCAAGATGCCGCAATGACCTGGATAGCACTCCACTCTTATGTACATTTATAAGTCAAATTCTAATCACATATTTGTTCCACAATATGGAAATATCAAATTTGTTATTGGTTAACACAGAGTAAAAATTAGACTGAAATTATTTAAGAAATGATAAACTTCAACCCTGTATGAGCTTCAGGTTGGTTTGAAAGTAGATTCCAAACATTTCTTTCTTTAACGCTTATGGCTCTTGTTTGCAGCTCTCTACTGTCAGTCGTCTCTTGGCCACTGATGTGACGCTTGTGCACTGCAGTGATGAAGACGGCTACTCACCGTTGCACCGCGCAGCATATGAGGGCCATGTAGACGTGGCCTCTGCCCTCCTTCAGGCCGGCGCCAAAGTGAACGCTCGCACTGCGGACTGCTGGACTCCGCTGCACAGTGCCTGCCGCTGGAGCAGAGTGTCCGTGGCCAGCCTCCTCCTGCATCACGGGGCCCTGCTCAATGCACAGACTAATGGAGGACTGACGCCTCTCCACTTGGCTGCTTCAAACCCAGACTCTGCTCACACACTGGAGCTGCTCTTATCCCAGCGGCACTTGAACGCATCGCTTCGTAGCAGCAGTGGGGAGACAGCCAGCCAGGTGGCACATCGCAGTGGGCCCCATCACTACCTGTTTGAAATGGCAGACGAGTGCAACAGCGTTATACCGTTTCAGACATCAACTATTTAATATACATTTATAATCACAAATACTTTGGTCCTCTTGACTTGCATTGTCTTCATTTACTTCTACAACCACATGTATTTATGGAAACCTATTTTTCGAGCCATAGGTTCGAATCCCTGTCGGAACAGGACTTTGCTGAGTGGAGTTTGCATGTTCTCCGGGTGCTCCGGTTTCCCCTACCATTAAAAACACAATAGGCATGAATGTAAATGAGTGAGTGAATGGATGGTGTTGATTGGAGGCTGATGCGGCAGTGTGTTAGGCGACTCGATTCCGTCATCACCGTGTGTGGAATAATTGGAACAATATATGAACTCTGAACATTGTAAAGCGCTTTGGGTGACCTTGGTCTGTGAAATGTGCTATATAAATAAACATTACTTACTTACTTGCTTTTCTTCTTTTAGCAGCTCATTGTCGCAACTATCAGACAAGCTACCGTCAACATCCGCAACACATTTTAGTGGTAACAATTTACGTATTTAACATAATTTAAAAGTGCTTTGGTGACCTCTTTTATGAAGAATTTCTAATTTAAAAAGAATTTTGGAACTAGCAGAACAGTATTATCTCCTTGGTCCAGCCATCTGGGATAGGGAAATGTGGGTCGTCTCCTGTCTTATGGTCCTGGCTTTGATGCTCCTTCAGTTTCACACCTTGATTTAATACCAGTCCACGCCGCACAGGTCCTTGTGTCCTGCAACATCCGGATGGCCTTGCCCTGTGTCCATCTCGTGTCCTTTCTTTCGCCCTCTACAGGTATCGTGCGAGGCAACAAGGCCAAGTAAAGACTTTTATTTTTGGCCATTTTATTTCATTTCATGTGTTTAAATCCAGATTGGGAGAATTTGAGACATCTTCATTGACATGTAACAGCTTTTGTAATCTGTAATTTTATAAAATTGTGTGTAACTGTTTTATCATCTTTGATTTTATGAAAAAGTTTTTTAGTGTTAATGACACTTTCCTGGTTAAAAAAAAATTATTAATAAAAAAAAATTCATTACTTTTGACAGGCCCTGAAGACAATGCCAGAGGGGTGTTACTGACCAAACTGGGGCAAAACTTCTATGTATAGAGAAAATGTATTTAGACATTTTTAATATACTTGCACTATGGTGCTTTACTTATATTTAGTGGAGTAAATCAAAGTGTTTATTTTGACAAATTGTATTGTAAATACAGGGGCGGACAGTGGCTCAAGTTGGTAGAGCACTGGTCTTTGGACCTAATAGTTGTGGGTTCAAGCCCATGTCACCTGCTCCCACTGGTGTTTGCTGTCGTGTCCCTGGGCAAGTTAACCCCACTTTATCGAAAGCCCCCGCTGAAAGATCAAGGCCATCTCGTCGATGACTGAGAAGCCATCTTCCCGTGGACCCACCACCTGCAGGAGGATCGGTGAGAGACTGGTGCTATGAGACTTGGGTGGCAGCTCAAGACCCAGAAACATTATTTACCATTTAACTTCTTATATTTATTGTATTGTATTTTATAGTATTGTTGTACTATCATTAATTATGTTTAGAATAGGCCCGATTCGGCAAAAGGCACATTTAGGAAATAATTAAATGATTATATGCACTTTAAACAAGACACTTCACTCTATATAATTCTGATAGCTTAGGTAATAGCTTGATGGTATTGCCCTCAGAGCATTAGTGGCTGTAAAAAATAGTTATCCATTTTATTAAATTTTCTCCACCTCTACTCCCATCTTCGGGTAGTGATAAAAAACACCGCAATCCGCAATAATAGATTCTTCTCATATTCTCCCATTTCTCATTGCTGCAAAAACGCATTATCTCCTGCGTTGCCTTAAGGCGTCTATAATGACGTTATATTCACATGCGACACCATAAATATCATTATTTAATTACTTGCCATAAGAAAATGCTGTTAAAATGGACCTGGTTTTATCCCATTCAGCGAGAGATCAAAACTCAAGTGAATCACTGTCGTCTCCACCACTCATTTCAAACCTGCACACTATGAAAGAACTGAATGAAAGATATAAAAAGTACATACAAAATATTTCATTTTTTTTCATTTTTTTTAATATACAATTCACATTGAATACACAAACAGATAAAACAATTGCAGACGTACAAATACATTAAGACAGAAACCGATTTCTTTTGTCCCTGTTCTCACCTCGTTTTGTGTACGGATATATGTGTCTAAGTGGTGCTTTAAAAAGGACACTATAGGAGCATTTTTACTTGATGCAGTGATCTACTAAAAAAAACTGTATGCATGTTCTTCTCCCGTCAGCCAGGAGGGAGCGAACAGCCATCTGTTCTGGTCAATGGAGAAGAAATTAGAGGTGGTACAAGTAAGTAAGTAAGTAAGTAATGTTTATTTGTATAGCGCATTTTACAGACCAAGGTCACCCAAAGCGCTTTACAATGTTCAGAGTTCAGATATTGTTCCAATCATTCCAGACACGGTGATGACAGAAGCGAGTCGCCGAACACACTGGAGCATCAGCCCCAATCAACACCATCCATTCACTCTCTCATTTACATTCATACCTATTGTGCATGTTTTTAGTGGTAGGGGAAACCAGAACACCCGGAGGAAACCTACGCAGACACGGGGAGAACATGCAAACTCCACTCAGAAAGGCCCTGTTCCGACCAGGACCTGTTCCGACCAGGACCTTCTTACTGAGAAGCGAGAATGCTATCCACTCAGCCACTGTGCCGCCCAACAATTTAGACATCTGGAAGTAATCTTTGATTAAAACTTGACTTTCACAGACCATGTCAAGAAAATATCTAATATTGTTACATTTAACTTGGCAAACTTCAAGCTAATAAGGCCTTGCTTGACGGTAGAGTCAGCAAAGGCTTGCACACTATGATTTTTAGTCACATTAATTGCCACACGACTTTCTCTCCTCTTATAAAATTCTCTATGTTGTGCTTGTCGACCTATTGTTTGTACTTTTACCTAACTGTGTGTTTCTTACCTGCCTTAAGACAATGGATGTAATTTAGCTATTGTAATAATTGCAGCATATTTTACGCTGTTTGTAGACACACTGATTAATATTTACTGTCCTAAATTCAAATAAATAGAACTAAAAAAATCTCAGGTTAATACCATTTTTGATCATCTATGCCTGTTGTAGTGCGTTCTATGGATAATTTCATTTTGGATACATTTTAGATTTGTGTTATTAGTCATTGAGTAGATGTTTTGTGTCCATAAGGTGGGATCGGAAGGAACAGTGAGGTCTTTTTGTCATTTGTCAATTGGGATGGAAAAGGATATGTAGTATTTTGAGATTATATGGTAGGATTTGGAGAGGCATTTATTTGGCCTTGGGTTTAAAAAAAAAAAAAAAAGGTAATTGGTTGGTAGACTCAGGGCTATGAGTGAGGCTTTCAATTGTTGGTATTGTAAGAATTTGATGCAGTATTGTAGGGGAAAATGGTTAAATGATGTAAAATGTTGTGGGTGATGTGGTCTAAGTGTGTAATGATTTCAAATAATCATCATTCCAATGGGCTGATCTAGAAAAGTGCACGATATGAAAAAATATATACAATTCTGCACAGTTTTGTTGCTCCCAAGTGTCTTATTTTCAGAAGTGTGTGATGCCTTTATCTGACCATATGCGGAAGTGGAGTGGTCTTTTATAGCTCAGGTTGTCAAAGTTATCCCAGATAGGTGTGTGAGTGGGTGATAGTTCATGTGATAGTTTAATATTAGCGCTATATCTAACCAAGTGTCTGATGGGTGGGTTTGGATCCATTTTAGGATATTCTGGATTTGGTAGGATATGAAGTATTGGAAAAAGTTTGGGCTTTAGGCTTTTGGGTGGTTTACTTAATTAAATTGGTTGAATTTTTTAATAGAATATTATTTTTGCAGAGCCGAGAGAATTGAACCAGGTAGTTAAAAGGATGGGGAGGTAGCATGGAAAAAAAAGGTTGTTGACTGCCACACCCAAGTTGGTGTTTAGCGGGAGTATTGAAATTTTTGTCAGTTTATGCAATAGTTAGAGATCTTTGAGAAAGTCTGAGGCGGATGGCTTCATGTAGCAAGGTCTGGGGGCTCTGATGGAAAATAACTATGTCATCTGCATATCCCACCATCACATGACCAACTCGAATAACAAGAAGCTCATCATTCCAATCCAATCCACTTTATTTATATAGCACATTTCATAAACACAGTTTCCAAAGTGCTGCACAATAAAATACTAAATAAAGCAAACCCATAGTAAAACACTACAATATATAAAAAAATCAAAAATGAATAACCGTGTGCATATATGTATAAATATAAAAATAACAATAAAAAGATTAAACGAAATAAAATAAAATGAAAATAAAAGGGCCATACAACTCACGCAGTGTTAAAAGCCAGAGCATAAAATGGGTCTTAAGACGAGACTTAAAACACTCCACAGACGGAGCAGTTTTGACATGTGGGGGCAGAGCGTGCCACAGCTTTGGTCCAGCCACAGAGAAGGCCCTGTCCCCCCGGGTCTTAAGTCTTGTCCTCGGTACCACGACCTCAGCGTGAGGGGCGGGTGGTAAATTTGGATGAGGTCCGAGATGTAAGGAGGGGCCAGTCCATTCAAAGCTTCCTTTAAGGATCACCTAATTTCGCCTGTTCCTTTTCGAATTATGATACCCAAATGGAAATGCTTATTGTGTGGACATCTTGTGTCTGATGTTGTGTTATGAGGCCTCATTTGAAAGGTAACACCTTCTAGTTTCTGGAAATGTATGTTACAGTTTGTTAGGAAGGACACAGTCTGTACTGCAGCTTCTCAAACATAAGTCAAAGTTAGTTTTTTTGTCTCAAAAAAAAAGAAGGCAATTTCAAAAGGTTCTCCTGAAGACATACTTTATGGTATGTTGTTCAAACTCACCAGAGCAGATGTTTGTGGTGTTGGAAACACCTGTATGAAATTTTAGACCTTTAGGTGGAACTATTTTGATTCTGGGGGCTTTTTTGTAACTAATGGGCACATTCGGCACAAGTGG